GCAACCACCAAATTGCCCAGCGTATCCTGCAGGGGTCCCACATTACCCGGCACCTTCTTCATCCTCCCAATATATTTGAAAAAGGACTTTTTGTTATCCTTAATCTTGGACGCTAGTTTGGAGCAGATACGCCTTAAAACTAAGAACCTTCTCTGCTGTCCCCAACTGTACAGCTATGACTTGTCACTAGAAAGCTGGCAAGCAGGGGCCTGACTAAGGAGCTACAGCTGCAAGTTGCTACTACAGGGCTGGCAAGACAGGACTGGCTTTTCTTCCTGCTCTAGGTGGAGGTGTGTAAGAGATTGGGGGGGAAGGAGAGGGGCAGAAAGATGAGTTAATGGGATGGGGGAGGGTAATGAAATGGGAGGTAGAAAGGACATGGGGTGAGGGAAGATTGGTAAAATGAAGGAATTCAGCTACTAGAGGAGAAAAGAAAAGAAATGAAGTAAATTAAAGAGAATCTCGTGTTTTAATACATTCGGATTTTGTATTGGGGGTGTGTGGGGGGATGCTGGTCATTTTTCCTGGGGTGGCTGGGAGGTGGGAGAGGTGATTAAGGTGCTTTTGGGAGAGCTACTACAACCCTGGGGTGGGAAGGTCACACCTCTGGGGGAGGAAGGGGGAGTTGGCTTGGTACCAGCACTGCCCCGTGGGTAGTAAAGTGCAGAGGATGGAAAGTTTGTCCGCAAAATAGGAGGGCGGGGGAGAAGACACTGCATTCTGGGAGGCCACACATTAATGGAGTATGTGCTGGGTAACATGGAGCAGAGAGAAATCTGCCCTGGAGAGGCATAACTTTAAGCTGCCTAAAGTGTACTTAAAACTAGTCGCAGGTGTTATTGTATGGACAATCCAAGGGTTAAGAGCTCCAGGAGCTGCCTAAAATTAATGTGAAACAAGGTCCTTACACTGGCAGAAAGAAAAAATCTTTGATCAACTGACTTTGTTTTGCAGGATAGACAAGTATTTGCCTGGGATGGTTTAGACAAGGATTATCTTGCCCTGGGTGACCTTCTGAGGGCCCTTCTGACCCAATTTTTCTGTGCTACTATGATTGATTGATTTTTCCTTGATTTAGACATTGTTTCAGAAAAATTGTGCTCTGAAGAATTTTACTTCTTCATCCCTAAATTCATTATTAGGTGTAGTCTTTGAGACTTGCATGCAAAGCTTCAAGTGCCCTCTATTACCATTTTTGGAAGTATCAGTTGAAATGGTGCTGTTAGAAAATGACAGTGTTGTGATGAGACATGAAGCAAGGTGATAGAATCTGCCTTTGCTTGAAATATGCCATACTTATGTTACATTGCTTATGCGTACATCACTGTGAATTTAAACGCAGATTGTATTCTATTTACTAGATGTCTAATTGGACTTAAGCATTAAGTCTGATTTTATTCCACCATATTCAAGTCCTGAAAATTTATTAAAACGTCAACTTTTGTAACATACTGGGCACATCTACATGTGTCCCTGACTGCATATTTGGTACTGTGCAGTCATTTAGTACTTGCTTTAGCAAGTAAATGACTGTGCAGCACCCGCCAGTATTGTGCAGTCCCGGCGGCACAGCAATGAGCTATAGCAACATAGATTGTCACTACAGTGATGTAGTAGCGGTATCATGGTTTGTGCCCACTGACACTATGTCGCCATAGCGATAAGCTGTGTAACGTCTTGTGTAGATGCGCTCGCTGTCATCTGATCCTTAAGACTGCATCATAAGAAAGCAGAGAGGAAGAGGAGGCCCCACCTATCTTTCTATGAACCATTTTTCAGGGACTCAAGCAAGGTGGAACAGAATCACACTGAAGGATGAAAGTGTATTTCCACATCTAATAAGTGGAAGAGAACGTAGACTTAGTCTTTTGTCTTTGAGAGTACCGGAGCTGATTATCTTCAATGTTTTAGCCTTTGAAGACATTACTATTAACAAAGAGCAAGTAATGAACAATGGGAAAATGCATCTGATTATTTCTTCCTTCTATTTGGTTTGCAGATTCTTTAAGTGGCTCACATTTTGAAATGTATTTGTGGTTCAAAATTATTCTCAAGTGTCTTAAGCAAATAGTTCTTCATCTGGAAATCATTCATGAACAGCTCATTGCGCCCATTCACAATTTGCAGGATCTTGGTTTAGTTGCTTCAGGCAAATATTGAAGCTTAGTATTTATAATAATAAAGCTCAAGAACCCACATGTTCACAGAAAGCCAAAATAAATGGGTCACAAGCATAATAAGGATTCAAATGTGAGTCAGAATTTGAACTAATATCCATATATCTTTTTTTTTCTTTTTTACTCTTCATTCGGCTGTAATTCTTATATCATCTCTTGTACTTCTTGTTTGTCATTAATTGAATTTGCATTCTCTTGGCATGCAGCCCTTTAGATTAAAGAAAAACATCACTATGGTATAAAAACAACCCACATGCAGTGGTTTGGAAAATCAAGGCTTGTTGAATTGCATTTTTTAAGAGAAATCATTCCTGAAAAATAAACAGAAGAGTTTTTTGTTTTTAGGTTTTTTTTCAAATTTTTACAAGTCAACTTTATTAGTGATGCAGGCAGATTCTCCATACTTTAATTAGAAAATGGGTTGTCTTGTATTTAAAGTGTTCTGGTCATTACTCCAGAGCCTGATCCAAAATATTTTCAAGTCAATTGAAAGATTAATTGATTTCAGAAGACTTTGGCTAAAAAATCTCCATAGTATTACTGCCTTAGCCATAATTTTACAATAAATACTATCTAAAGGCCCCAAAGAAAAATAATCAGTTTGTAATAGTATCCTCAACTGATGTGCTCCATTTTAGATTATTTAGTGCAGTAATATTCCTAGCAGCAATTACCCAACATTTAAGTCAGAATTTAAGTCAGAGCATCAATTGTTCATTTATACAAAAATGTTATTTACTTATAGAATTATTCCACCAAATCTCTTTAAAGGCTATTATTACAAGGGAATGAAATGAAATTAGTTTTTCTCTTTTAGTATTTTTAGTAACAAAATTAGAATTTTTTAGTTTTTTCTAGTCAGTATTCCTAGCCAAGCATACAATTTAGCCAGTAGCCAGATTTCCACTAAGGCCAATGTAATGACATGCTGTATAATATATAGTATACTCACTTTAAGGTCCATATACACTACCAGAAGAATGTAAAAGTAGCCTTGGTGTAAATAGAATCAAAGCCAGTAAGAAGAACTAAGTTTCTACCTCCTTATACCTCTGGCTTGACTCACATTTATAGGAAAAAGTCTTTCTGTCCCTCTGGAAGCATAACAATGCTTTATTTAATGTTATGCGCAATCCAGAGCTATGTAATGTAGCTTTAGTGTGAGAGATGGGCTTTTTGTATTGTTTTTTATACCAGTGGCTTTAAAGTCAATGCAAAATGGTTTGAAAGGGCCATTCTTCTGATCCAATACTGTACTGCACATGCTTTATCCTACAGTGAATGTCTACACAAGGTGAAAAACAACAAAGAATCAGGTCTCATGGCTTTGTAGCACACAATGTCTTCATCTTAAGGAATGGGTTATCGTTAATGCATATTCATTCATTTTGGTATTTTCATTACTATGCCTGCTGTTTTAACAATTTGTATTTTGCTATGTTTGTCATTTACATGTTTGAACTTCACCTTTTCGGGGGGAAAAAGGACCAGGAGACCAGCTACACCATCATCAAATCAAAAGAGACAACAATCACGGCAGATGGCTTGAAGCCAGGTTCAGCATATATCTTCCAAATCCGAGCCCGTACGGCGGCAGGGTATGGTGGCTTCAGTCGAAGATTTGAGATTGAAACCAGCCCAGTGTGTAAGTCATTTTAATTACTGTCAGCTCATGTCTCTGTAATGGTTACCAGAAAAGAGTCAGTGGATCAATACCTTTGCAGAGAACTCTGTCAGTCTCACTCTCATCCTCTCTTTCTCTCTCTCTCAGGCCTGATCCCTTTAGTTAAGAAACATCAGTCATGTCATTACCTTGACTTGGACAGGTTAACACATCTGTCCCTATTTCCTCATCTCATTTAGCAGAACAGGAGATGAACCATCAGGAGATCTTTAAACTTAAGAAATTTGTGAAGCTTGCTGCTTAGAGTTTCTTTTTGCTGCTCACTTCCATTGAGGTGTTCCCACTTACTCATGAAGGTGTTAGTTACTTTTTTGAACTACATACTTCTACTTCTAATCAGGAATCTAATGTACAATTCTTAAAGCAGGGGAGAGCAATTATTTTGGGCAGAGGGCTGCTTACCCAGTTTTGGCAAGCTGTTAAGGGCTGCGTGGGTAGCTCTGCCTCTTGACAGGTGCCCCATCCCCTGATCACCATCTTGGGACCAATGTCCCAATGTCTTGGGACCAATGTCTCAGGGCCTGCACTGGTGGGGCCCAGAGAGGGGCGCAGGTTGGCAGGGGTTTGTGAAGCTGGGCTGGGCTGCACCAGCAGGGAGAGGGGGGAGCTGGCCTGGCTCCATAGAGCCCCTGCTGGCCGGGACCCTGTACTCCTGCCACCCTGCTCTGGTCCCCATGCACCTGCTCACTTCCAGTGCCCTCCCACTCCGTGGTATAGGCGGGGGAAAGCGTGCAGCCCTGGACCCATGCTCCCCAGCAGGGAATGAGCTGGTGCTGAGCATGGGGAAAAAGCAGCCCCTCCCCTGCCCCATGGTTGGTGCTCCCTGCTGCACCTGCGTGGGGCTGTCCTGAGCAGGCACAGCCAGCCCCACACGAGCTGCGAGTGGCTGCAGTGCGGGGCACCGGCCACAGGGTGGGGGCAGTGCCGCTTTTCCCTGTGCTCAGCACCAGCTTGTAACCCGCCCCAGCTGCCAGCCTGGGCCCCGTGCTGGCTCTGGGCTTGCCCATCAGGGCTTCGCATAATGGCAGCAGCTGCAGTGCCCCTGCTTGCCACACCGGGAAGTGTTTGCCACTGCCACCTCTGGGCTGCCCAGTGCGGCACCAGCAGCAAAAGTGAGGGGGCCGCAGCTGCTGCTGCCGTGCGCAACCCCAACAGGTGAGCCCAGACCCAGTGCGGGACCCAGGCTGGGAACAGGGGTGGGTTCCAAGCTGGTGCTGAGCATGGGGAAAAGTGGCCCCGCCCCCACCCCCGCCCTGCATTGCAGCTGCTGACAGCCCACCTGGGGCTGCTGGGGGGCGGGGCCAGGTTGGCCCTGCTGTTGCGGAAGCCTGCTGGGCTTCCCCTGGGTCCTACTGCCACTGGTTACTGTCATTTTTTACATGAACCAAAGGCAGATAAATACTAATTTTCTAAATTTTTAGGGCCACACAGGCCAGATAGAATGGCCTTGAGGGCCATATTCAGCCCGTGGGCCCGTATTTTGCCCACCCCTGCCTTAAAGGCTTGTGTTTGAGCTGGAGAAAGAAAATAGTATACCTCTCAATAGGTCATTAAACCTTTGTGTACCTCTTAACTTGGTCTATGGAGGATTCTCAAGTCTCTCTTTGATATCTTTTGCTGTAGTTGGATACAGTTTTGGATTAAATACCTCCCAGCAACATTTGTGGTAACTCCTCCAAGAGGAATATCTTTGCCATCCAAGAAATCACAGGACCATTAGAATCATTTTGTAGAAGACACTGTAGTTAGAGTTGCCATATGGTTACTATTATCAACCCACTGCTCCTAGGTTTTCAATCCTGCCACTTTCTGACCTGAAATGTAATGAACTTTCTTGTTGTTTGAGAAAGGAGAACTTGAAGGGAAAACATAACTTTTAACAGATTTTGTGTTTACTGAGCACATAAAAAATGTGATTTATGACTACAAGACTGTAGATAGGTGTAACTCTAAATGGGCTAAAATGGAGCTGAACTGACTGAAAGGTACTTACTGTTTGAAAATGCCTGTCTGCATAGCTCTTTTGTCTGTCCCCTTCTATACTGGGATGGCAATCCTAAGCCACTGTAACTTTGCATCTGAATGAAGAAGATTCAAAATTACAATGATGTAGCTTCCAAATAGGGTGCAATTGAGCAGAGGGATGGAAAGGTTGCAGCAGATCATATGCAAAAAGCTATACGCTTAGAGTGCTTAAGACCTATCTAAACCTATCGAATTGCTAGCTTGGATCTGTGCAGAGCATGGGTGAGTGAGTGGGGCCTCTGGTGGTCCCAGGCTTGATACAGAGGTGATAGAGGAATGTCTTTAAGGACTTGGTCCTCCAGACACTTTATGCACACACTTTAATCTTAATTTCAAGGGCACCCACTTATATGTTTAAGGTTAAGCAAGTATGTGAATATTTGCAGAATTGGTGGTTTGCGGTGGTGCAAGTCCAATGAATAGATTCTAGCCAGTTAGAAAGACACTTTTCAATGCTGTTATTCTGTCACCATTAAAAACCTTTCGTTCCCACATGCCCCCTAAACCACAGACCTAGAGCCAAGCCTCTTAGAGGGAAATCCCCTTTGCTGCCAAGCTTCATGGAATAGTAAAGAAACATACAGTGTAATCCTGTTAGCTTCCCCTTACTGCTGGTGAGAAAGGACATTTTTACACTTTAATTAGAGTTGCTCTAATGCACCCACAGCATCTCATGTATCAGTGTCCCCACACTTCAAAACAGTGGTGGGGGCACTTTAACTAAAGCTCATTGAATGAGTTTTACTTAAAGCACCCCCACCCCCATTTTGAAGTCTCAGCATCACGCAACATGGAGACTGGCTGGAGCACCCTAATTACCATGCTCCAGCAGACTAAATTAATCGAGTCTGCTCCAATGTGTTGTAATTACAATGCATTGGAGCAGCTTCCCTCCATGTGTAGAGGTGCCTGAAGAGGCCAGTGTAGTCATGTTTTGACAGGGTAGGAAGATAAAAAAACCCAAAATGCCAGGCCGCCGACTATAGCCCAGACGTTCCATGATGAAATGCTGAATCAAGGGCTTGGATTCATGGATGGCTCAAACCTGTTACAGCTGCTGTATTAAGCAGTCTGAAGCATTGGTTTCCTCTGAACTCACATTTTCAACCAACCACAAGTGCTGAACATACTTTTTTTAATGAAAGCTCAGATTCTGGAGCATCAGTCTGTGACAAGGGTTAATTCCACAGAGTTCCAATTTTATTTAAAGGCTCAGTTTTAATCTCTTTGAAGTGCTCAGATACCATGGTGAGGAAATCCTTTTATTCCTTATTTACCTATTTTTGCAGTGGTGTCATAGATAATTTTCCCTCTCATAAAATATGTACTCTGTGTACCTATTTCAATTTGTACTACTGACATATTTATTAATCTTTAATACTATTTGTATGCAGGAGAAAGTTCATGATGGAAATATTCTGTTCATTTTTTTGGTAAATAGTAAATCATGCTGTATGTTTTCCTTATAAATTTAAATTCATCAACATTTTGATTACTGTTTCCCTGGTTCATTTAAAATTTATAATCAGTTCTTTAAAAAAGATACAGCGTTGTCATTTCAATGAGCGGTACATTTTAAACCGTAATAGATTTTAAAGGAATCATTATGTATGTGCAGATGTGGCTGTGGAGTCAGTGGCTGAGCTAATGTAGTGCAAATAGTGTAGTAATGTAAACATTAATGCAATAAGAATTGTGTATGTAATGTATTTCTTATTGCATTAACCATTAATCATGTCTTATAAGCAGAAACAAAACCTGATTATACTGAAAATAATTCTGTATTATATTAGGCAAGGTCTGGTCACAGTAGAAAAGTTTCTAATTTAGACTATTCCAGTAATAGTGTTTCAGAATATTAATAAGTAATATCCTAGCATTTATGTACTTTTAGTCCAATGCTATCCTGACCTAAAATCATGAGCCAGTAATAATAATAATTTTCCAAGACCTCTCATGTGAATCTTGGAAATAGTGTAAACTGCAGAACAATGTTAGGTTTTCTACAGGGGAATACATTATCCTATCTCAAGGCATTTTGCCACCACTAATAAATTCAGCTTTTCGAATGGTCTGGTGGGACAGTGCTATTTCCATTTTATAGGTAGGGAAGTGGATATTGAGATTCAAGGCCTAAAATGAAACCATTTGAAGCTAATGGAAGAACACAGAGGCATGTGCTTAAATGCTTTGCAGAATGGCAGTGGCTTTTAAATGTTTTGCTCAAACACAAACCCACTGGGTTCACTACTCTTTGGGGAAAGTTTTGAATTTCCCATGGTCACATGGGAGGTCAAGCCAGAAATACAACTCATATCCATGACTCCTTTGATTTAAGCACAGTTTTACAGAACAGAAAGAAAACCCTATCTGGAAACATGTACCCAAGGATGTAGAAAGCCAAGTCCTGCTCTTTCTCATGCTTATGATCATGGAGAAAAGGGCACCAGCTATTCCTGTGTTCCACACAGTCTTACTGTCTTTCAAATTTAATTTCCATCCATGGCATCTAGAAGCAGCATGAGGAATGAGCAGCTACCAACCTGCAGTGTGCATCACATGCCAAAGGTGCTTGACTCGCATAAGTCTGGCTGTGTCTGGAGCAACAGATAGAAACAGACAATACAAGGAGCTTGCAGTGTGTTCCAGATGAACTGAACAGCAGAGAGCCTTCTATTCAGAAAATGTTAGTCAGCTGTTTGGAATCCTGCCTTCTACTAACAGGGCTCTTTGTAATGTAGACCATATGGCAGCTTCTCTGCTTCCTCTCCCAGCCCAACCTTTCATTATTACATATAGGTGTGTGTGTGTGTGCACACACACACACTTATATTAGATAGATAGATAGATAGATAGATAGATAGATAGATAGATAGATAGTAGGCCTGTGCAAAGCAGCTAGTATTCACTTTGGATTCGACCAATTTGGGGGACAG